CTCGTAGTTTCGACGATATTTGCTCTAAAATAATAAAACCGTTTTTTTTTCTAAGGGATGTTTTCCTTAAAAGTACATTTAAGCATAAATACCCGATTGCTTAATTCTTGATTTTGTCTAGAAAATAATATTCAAAGCTCATCAAAATCGGAGAGTTACACTTAGATAGGTTTAAATGTAAGTATTACTGATTAGGCAAGATACTTAACCGTCTTAAACGTCTCATACTTACCATGACGTTTAATTTGATCTAAAATCATGTCGATAACGATAAATGTACCAGTTCTACCAATTCCAGCACTACAGTGGACGAGAATTGGTCCTATGCACGGTTCATCCTGATCCTTTGGAGCCAAAGATGCCGCAATCAATTCTTGCCTGGCATTTACATCGTGTAAAAAGTTCAGCACGCAACCAGGATCTGATGGAACACCGTGATCAGGCCATGCCTATAAATTAAATACAGAAATTTAATTCTGCTCTTATTCTATATAACTCTTTTAAATAGGACAAGTGTTTATTATATTTAACAAATATTCAATAAAATATATTTCATAAAATTCCTCTTAAAAATATGTAATTAAATAAAAAATCAAATGTTACTTGTAAATTAATAACTTATAAATTTATTCAGTGTTTTAAGAGTATGCATATGTATTAGATACATTACTTGAAAGTGGTAATGATAAATTCTTCTGGACTCGGAAAACTCCGGTTTGGTTCCTTGTAAAAGAAATTCGCGCAGTGTATAATCAGCGGTTGAAGTTCGAGATACAGCACGTACTTTCCATTCGTTACCATATTCGGAAGTTTCTCCTTCTTCCGGCCAATACCGCGCACATTTATTCTAAAAAAAAAGAATGTGCCAAAAATTAACATTCTATCTATAAGCTTTTAAAATTTTAGAATTCACATACCTTTCCTCTTTCTATTTCCTTGGTAGTCATAACAATCACACGAGTATTCTCCTGGTACACCATGTGCCAAAAATCTTGTATAGTATTTGGAAGGCAACCTTGCGTAGCTATGTAACATTTGCCAAATGATGGATCGTCACCATTGTCAACGGTAGTGTTTGTTTCATCACCTTCTTTGTTCTGCAAAATAATTTTATCACATAATTAATACATGTAAATTTATATTAAGTATATGCAAATGTTTTAGTCTTCTTGCGCGTTTTTGCTTTAAATCCGTATTGTATACAATATGTTATTAAAATATTTGTCCTTGCTTTCTGTGATTTTTTGTCATTTCTCAAGTAAATATCGGATTCCTTTATGAAAAAAATATTTTTGTATCTTAA